CCTGCCGGGCAGCCCTCGGGGAGGCGGGGCTTGAGGGAGCCATGTCCTGGGCCGCCGGGGGTGGGGCCTTGTCTGGTGAGAAGCCTAACCCTAACCCTGACCCGAGGAAGCGGATGGCGGGGCAGGAGCTGCCCGAAACGTGGCCAACCTGAGGCATAGAGGGGCACTCCAGCCACGCCTCGCTTCGCTCTTGGCATTCCCAGCGTCCGGCAGTGTCCTCCCGTGACCCCGGAAACCCTCTAACGGCCCTTCCCACACTTCCTGAGTGACCTCATCCTGCTCAGGGCGCACCGGCCCCAAATCCTTATCTCCAACCCAGACCTCTCTCTCCTGCGTGCCCGTCCACTGGTCATCGCACACCAGCGTCCCTCTCCAAAGAGCCGTTTCAATGGCCAGAGCCCTCCCCAGCCTACTCTCCCCATCTCAGCTCTGCCCCTGTCCTCCTCCAGGGGCTGCCACTGTGGACGCTGCATTTTCTCCCCAAGCCAGGCCCTGGCAAGTCTGCCTCCTTCTCCCATCTCCACCCCTAGCACGCCTAGTTAGGCTTCCACTACCTCCCAGCAGGGCTGCTGCTACAGCCTCCTCCCTGGCTTTGCTTTCCCTGCAGCCAAATCTCACTTCATTAGTCTCATTTTGAACATCTATCAACGACATGACCAGATCTGTTTTCTGCAGACACACACCCAGGGAGCGACCAGAGCCTTCCACACTGGCCCGTGAGGGCTGCTCAGCATAGCCCAGAGCAGGTATAAGCTGGAAGTGTCGGGAACTGCTAGTCCGGGATCCCTAGTGCACCCTTCACAGCCCTTTCTGAGTCAGCTCCAGTCTCTTGCCCTGATGCCGGTCCAGCAGTCCCCAGACTGGTGCTGCCCAGAATGCCTTCAACTCAACCTTCAAAACCCAGCCCTCACTTACCTTCCCCATGAAGCCTGACACCCTGATGCTGTGACTCAAAGCCTAGTGCACCAGCCAGAGCCTAAGTTAATGGTGAGCCCCAGCCAGCCTGCAGGAGCGGGACAGGCATGTGATACTGGGCAAGTCAGTGCCCTGTTGGGGCCTCAGATCCAGAAAACGGGTTTAGATGCAATTCAGGTTTGGACCTGCTCATGGGAAAGGGCCTCACTGGTGAGGGGTCATAGGCTGGCGAGGAGAGAAGTAGGTCAAGGACTGATTTCCTCCCGGCAACTGAGGCACAGACACCGTCACTCTGGAACTGGGCCCTGTACCATCTGGCCCTTCGGGAGGGGGAGTAGGGAGTGCCAGGCTTGGGAGCTCGGTGACTAGAGAGGAAAGGAGGGGCTGCGCGGGGGCGGGGAGGGCCTAGCAAGGTGAAAAGGGGGTGGTCAGGGTCCTTGACCCCTAAACTCCATCTCTTCCCTGTCCTGCTGATCCACCCTCTGCCCCTGATCTCAGCCCCTCAGGTTTGGTTCCAGGGCAGGGACCTGGCTGGGCCTAGTTTGGACAACCAAGCAGAACAGGTGTGGGGTGTGGCCACATGCTTCCCCACAGACCACATGAATGTTTGTGGAAGAGAAGCCAAAGGGTGGCCGAGCATCAGAGACCCCTCAGTGAGTGCCAGCCCAGACCTGGGCCCATGTCCCCTGGGCCTGCCTTTCTGACAGGTCCTGGGACTTGGCTGGGGTCTCTGAGGGCAAAACCCCTTCCCCTGTCATGAACATCAAACACAAACAGACACAAACTGCAGTGGCTTCTTTAATCCCTGAAGTCCCCTTTTCTCACAGAATATTTACACACAGGATGGGGCAGGGGAAACTTCACCACCAGTAATGGGCTGGGGAGTGGGGGCAGTGCCAAGACGCGCCTCTGCGCAGGGAGAGTTCCTGAGGGGGCCCCGGGCCCAGCGTGACCCCGGGCCCTGAAGGACCCGGGCAGTTCTGAGCAGGTCCACAGCCAGGCTAAGGCTGGACCAAGTGGCTCAGGCCAAGTCCGTGGCGGGTGAGCCCAGATGCTGGGAGGCCAGGAGCAGGCGGTTGTTGTTCCGCAGGTTGCGAACCTCCTCCTCCAGGGCTGCTCGGTCTGCCTTCTCCTGGGGGGTGGGGGGGCGAGCCAGCAGGAGTCAGAATGGTGGGTCCCTTTCCTGCGGCAGCCCTGCGACTCCCCCGCAAACCCCAGCCACCCTGTCACCTTCTGCAGGTCCTCCTGCAGCTTCCTGAGCAGGGACTCCAGGTGAGAGACCTTCTCTGATAGGTTCCTGGGTTCTGGCCTGAGGACATGGGAGTCAAGACTCAGCTGGACTGAGGCAGCGGTCAGTACCACAGCTGGCCCCAGACCCACCGGAGAGGGCCCCCCAGTCTTCTCAGACATATGTATGTGCTTAAGGCCACTGAATGGGCACAGATGGTGGTAGCATAGACACAGTGAAGGGGCTAGATCAGGGTGGGGAGCCTTACTCAGCATCAGATTTTGGGGCTCCCCTGGCATCTCCACTCTCTGGGATGGGCTGTCCTGTGGGGAAAGAGGAACAGCAGATTGGTAAAGGAAGTAAGAGCCGCCTCCTGGCTCCTCCCCACAGCACTCACCCTCGGTGGCCTCACCCTCCCGGGACAGCGACTCCAGGATGGTGTTGCAAGTGGAGGCGATTTCCGAGATGGACTGCCACTCGTCTTCCAGAGTCTCCATGCCCGCCTCTGACATGACTGGGCACAAGGAGGTGGGCTCAGCCAGGGAAGCCCCGGCCAGCCTGCCCACTTCCCATGGCCCACCTCCGACCCTGTGCTCCACCTTGCGCCAGACTCACTTTTGCTGATGGAGTTTCGAAGAGACAAGGTTCGTGGCAGGAAGGAGGCCCTCATCTCTGGGGCCGGGTCCGCTCTGTCCTCACCGCCACTGGGGCTGGCTGGCCCATCCTGAGGGCGGAAATGGGTATGGGTGCCGTGATGCCCACCATCACCGCTGTGCCCACCCCTGCTGGTAGGGCTCCAGAGCCTGGTTTCTGCTCACCTGGGTGGGGGGTGTCTCCCTGCCAGCACCAGGAGGTGACGGCTTGGCCGTGGTTGCCAGGAGGAGGTCTGGGGTGGTGTTGGGCAGGACTGGGGCCTCATCGGACAGGGAGCTGGGGAGAGCAAGGAGAGCTCAGCCCTGGAAGCTGCACCATGGCCCTTGCTTGCAGAGGCCGCCTGCGCCGTCTCACTGGGCTGCAAGAGAGCGAGGGCGAGAGGGTGCACCTGCAGGGCGATGGCGAGTTCTGGCTGCGCAGGAACTCGGTCCTCTCCTCGGCTAGGTCCCCAGGCCCCGGAGGACCGCTGCCCTCACTCAGGCACACGTGCAGCAGCTGCTTCGTGGTGGGCATCAGGGCCACCTCAGGGGCCTCTTCCTGCACTGGCTCTGGGGCCCCACGCCTGCTGGGCTCCTGCAGGGACAGCCTGTACAGCTCCGAGAAGCTCCTGGGGAGGAAGGGGCAGCTTCAGGTAGGAAGGCCCCGTCCCCAGCTTCCTGCATACCCCGCCCACCCCCAGCTGTCCGGCTCACTTCCAGGAGGAGAGCTCTCCACACTCCCTAACAATGAAAAAACGTTAGTCTGGCTACTGGCCGCTTTTCCAGACTTTAATTCAAATCACAGTGCTGCCCTGTGTGTCCTAGGCACATCACTGTCCATTTCTCCACCTGTGAAATGAGGTAACAGTCCTGATCTCATACCTTGTTGTGAGGGTTTAAATAACACAGGTGCATGCCCGGCTGGTGTTGCTCAGTGGTGAGCATCGACCAATGAACCAGGAGGTCACGGTTCGACTTCCGTCAGGGCACATCCCTGATTGCAGGCTTGATCCCCAGTGTGGGGCATGCAGGAGGCAGCCGATCCATGATTCTCTCTCATCATTGATGTTTCTCTCTCTCCCTCCCTCTCTGAAATCAATAAAAATATATTTTAAAAAGATGACACAGGTGAGTCATTTAGCATAGAGATCCAAAAGCTACTGTTTGGGGACCAAATCCAGCCTCTGCCTTTTCTGCCCGTTTCTTAACTAATGCAAGCTGAGAAAAGTTGAAAGAAATCAGAACATTTCATGACACGAGAAACCCATAAAACTCAAAGGTCAGTATCTGTAACTAAAGCTTCAGCAGAACTCGGCACACGCATCGGCTTCACCCTGCCCATGAGGACAGGGCTGCGCAGAGACGGAGCCTGGGGTTTCTCCCGAGGGGCCCTCACCAGCTGCTGGCCACGCAGGAGGAGCCGCCCGGCCCTCCCCCTTCCCGCCCCC